AACAAAAGTTGTCTCAGCCACAGTAAATATTTTTATTTTCTCAGTACAAGGAGAAAAAGAGTTCCTGGCAAAGGAATTCTCTTGGCCAGAAGTTGCAAAGACTCTTGCTGACTCGTTTCCCATCCAACAATGCTGCCCTTGCTGCTTTTGTAGACTTCTCCTACAAACTTTCTCATACCACCCAGCTTTCCCTCCTCCCACCATCTCCCACTCACATGCAGAGACCCTGCTCAGAAAATTTTGTTTCCTAGTGCTTTGAAATTCCTGACTTGCCTTTGCCTTTCACACAAAAATAGTGATGGGTGGTTAAAGAGTATTATTTGCCTTCTGACTTTCAGGGAAGAATTTAATGGCTTCTCATAATCACTTTTTATAAAGTGATGGTGCCCAACAGCTTCAGAAAGTTGTAACACAGACTGCACAGATAGAGTTGACCTTGTCTGAGATATAAGGATATCTGATAGTGCAGAATTTCACTACTATTCATCTGTCTAAACATGCAGATAGGTATCAGGTGGGATCTACAAAAATGCTGGCACCTACATTACTTTACAAAGCTACCCCTGAGGACCTGATTCAAAGCCATTGTAGTCACAGAGAAATTACTATTGACTCTATTAGGATTCAGTTGAGATTAATGTTGCACACTTCTTTGCTGCCCTTTGCTGTCTCTGTTCCTGTGATTTGAATTGTTCCCTCAAGGCATTGCAAAAAAAGGGATGGAAATGTTAGCAGCAATGCATGGGAAGTTGAATACTTGTCCTTTTCCTTTTGACAGCATCTGTTTAATAAAAAAAGAAAAATACTGTTTTAAAACTTAGAATTGTTCTATTCATATCATTTAACTGCTGTTACATCTTTTAGAAATATCTAAACCAATAGTGAAATATTTCAACTTGTTGGAAAAGGAATAAACATGTACGCCACTTACTTGCAACCTCAATAACTGGAGTAGAGTGACTGAAAATCTTCCCCGTGTTCCTGCAGCAAACATCATGTCCATGGAAATCATGTGCAAGTATTTAATTTCCTTAACACTGCAGAATATATAAAACCTGCCTTCAGTAAATACTTCCCAATATATCAAAAATGTCTGATGACAAGAAGTTTATGTCAAAATCTCCTTTTCTAGCTGTCCTAGGCACCAAACCAAATACATTAATTAAAACCTAACTGTATCAAGCCACCTGAATAAAAAAGGGGACAAGTTTTTTGTTGGGTTGGCTTTTGGTTTTGCTTTGTAATTTTTTTTTTTTGCTGATTTTTGGTTGGATTTTTTAAGGGTATGTGACTGGAAAATGTCTGAATTGGGCAGAGAAAAAAAAAGATTAAAAGGAAGATAGTATCAAAAACTAGGAAACAGGAGCCAGTTACTTTATCATTTTGTAGTGTTGGAGAGAGGAAAAGGATGATAAATTGAAAGCAAGTGTAGAGGTGCATGACTGGTCTACAAAGGAGAAGATATAATGCTGGATTTAAAAAGCTTAAACCTGTGATGGTTAAAGAGAAATACTGTGTACAGAACCTAATGTCTGCCCCAAGCTCATTGCTATGAAATCTTACCCACAATGTCACTAATGTGATTGAAGACATTTCCAGCATCATCTCCGCTAGCACAGGAGAACTGACTGCAGAAACTCTGACCAGAACATGCTAGTGATGTCGTGATACTTGGTTTTCTACTTTCAACTGGAAAGGTAATCTGCTTTTTCCTCAAATATTCAAGAAAAAAATAGAGTTTCCTTTGTGGAAATATCTAATTTTCTTTCAGTGATAGATCTACGAGATTATTAAATTACTTGAAAACAGACATGCCAGCTTTTCTAAAGCTTGCACCATTATCAAGATCATTTAGCATTCACCCCTAAGAAAGTTTGCTCTTTGACATATAACAAAATGATGACTTCCTCTATATACAATGATTTTAGAGATTTTAAGTGTTGAGAATGGTTTCAATACCATGACTGGATTTGCCTCTAGTAATTGAAAAAAAAATAAATTGAAAAAATAAATCCTGCTCTTCCAGAGCAGATGAATTCTGTACAACCTCTCCAGAGGCTCTGATCTGCCTGAAGAAACCAGATGCAAAAGGGATTCACTCACAGCTATGGCAGTTTTTGAAAGCATACAGCAGGTATTTTGTGGAGTCAGAATTAAAGTCTTCTTTTTAAAGGATGTATTTGAACACAAGACTTTCCAGAGCAAAATTCAAGTGGAGAAGTGCAATTGAGGCACTCAGATCAAGGTGCTGCAGAGATAGGGGTAGGGAGGCTCACACCCAGGCCAGGTTACTGGGAGACAGAAACAACATGGTCAGGCTGGTGAGAGCAGGGCAACCCTAAGTTCTCTGGGAGATATTTTCCATAGAGTTCACTAAAGTCCCAGTTCTAACCCCCACCAATTTCCTTCAAGACTGAGAAGGTGTTGTAAAGGAAAAGATGCTGACAGGCATGAGACCTAATCAGGCAAAGTAGGTGGAGGGTCTCTAGGTACTGTCTCCATTAAGGTGTAAATCCTTCAACTTTTTTAAATGTGAGAAAATTGCATTTAATCAACACTTAGGCTGAAGACCTCTCCTGGTGACATTCTTTGCATTTAATATGCCAATTTCAGTCCAGTATCAAAATCTAAAGTTTCTCAAAACTGCTAAAATCCTCTAAAAAAGTCATGCTTTTAGGATCACTCTTTCTTTAGTTCTGCCATGGCCTGACTTGAAGTCAAAGTTTGTTGATTTTACTTTTTACATACTAAAATAAGGTATTAATCCTGTGGTACAGATCGAGCAGTGTGCTCAGAGTCTGTATTAAAGTGACCAAGGTGAAATTAGATTATGCTCTGATCATTTACTTCAGGGCAAACACCTTCACATGAATAGAACATGTAGAAAGTGTTGGCATTATCTATTAAAAACCTTCAAATCTTCTCCAGTAGGTTGAAAATTGGCCTGAAGGAGAAGCTTAAATGATGAAAAGGTTATGAATTTCTCTACACTGATAATTCAAAATAACCATGCAAATGAAAAATTACTCAAACCAATTACATAATTAAGAAAAAAATTAAATATGAATTTGTGCTGAAGGAGATAACTGTTTACTTGTAGAAATGAGAAAGAAATGCTGGCAGCTAATGCAGTGGTTTTACTGGAGTTAGATGAAGAAATGTGTGTGGATATGCAATACAGGTGTGTGTCATCAGCCTCACTGTAGACTGACATGAAGTGTTTCCTGGATGTGCTTTTATTTAATGCATATTCACACAAAATATCTCATACTGGATAGCTAGCATGAGTTATTTTGTCATCTAATAATGAGAATATTGACATTTGAGGTCAATGTTGAGTCAGCTTGTTTGCTCTGCAGAAACTGTTCCCTCATAAAACACAAAGTGAAAGTGAAATAAGGGAGCAGAAAAATAAAATGTGTTACAAAAAAATAAGAAGTAAAATCATTATGTCCAAGTGATGGATGGGCAGGTATGTGGTGATGAACAGACACGAATGTGAGGATTCAGGTAGAACTAACTGTTTCAAAAATACTCTTCCTCAAGAATTTAATACATCAATCTCAGATTCCAATCTTCCAATCATAGAGTAGAATGGCTTAAGTTGGAAGAGGCCTTATAAGTAAAATAGTTCCAACCCCTGCCATGGGCAGGGACGCCTTGCACTAGACCAAGTTCCTCAGGGCCTCATCCAGTCTGGTCTTGAACACTTCCAGGGATGAGGCAACCACAACTTCTCTAGGCAACCTGTTCCAATGTCTCAGTACCCTCACAGAAAGGATTTCTTCCTATTAGCTAACCTAAACCTACTCTCTTTCACTTTGAAGACACTCTCCCTTGTCCTCCTTGAAGAGGAACTCGTAAGAAGTTCCTCTTCATCTTTCTCATAGGCTCCCTTCAGGGCCTCAAAGGTCACAATTAGGTCATCCCAAAGCCTTCTCTTCTCCAGGCTGAAAAATCCCAGTTCTTTCAGTTTTTCCTCATATGAGAGGCACTCCGTCTGTCTGATCATCTTGGTGGCCTCCTCTGGACTTGCTCATGTCCTTCCTGTGCTGGGGATCTCAGAGCTGGATGCAGTGCTCTGGGTGGGATCCCACCAGAGTGGAGCAGAGGGGCAGAATCCCCTCCCTCACCCTGCTGGCCATGCTGCTTTGGATACAGCACAGGAGCTGCTTGGTTTTAAGGGCTGAAAGTCTGTAACATCAGCTTGGGGGGTAGTGGCGTGGAGACAAAGACACCACTCACCACAATGTTCACGTGGCAACACAGAGTTTATCCTCAAGCCCTTCCTTATAAAGGGCATTGGAAAAGCCCAGTCTGGATATTCCCATTGGTCTGATATCTATGCCCCTTCAGGTTCTGGCCAGTGAAATGTCTGCAGCCTTGGGAGAGATGTGATTGGGCAAAGCCCCTGTCAGTCAGCCCAGGGGCTGGTTAGTTTGCCAAGCACAAACCAGCTTGTGCTATGATGTGTGACCACACAGGTCTGCATGGCCAGGTTATGTCAAGGCTGGCTCATCCACCAGCACCCCCAAGTCCTTCTTGGCAGGGCTGCTCTCCATCTGTTTATCCCCCAGCCTGTGTTGGTACTGGGAGTTGCCCTGACCCAGATGCAGCATCTTGCACTTGGTCTTACTAAACACAAGATATTCACATGGGCCCATTTCTTGAGCCTGCCCAGGTCCTTCTGGATGAATCGTGTTTTCAGGAGCACCAACTACACCACTCAACTGCTGCTGACATCTGAAAATTTCCCAAGGGTGCATCCAATCCCTTCATCTCATGCTCCAGTTTGTAATGTTTCATTCAGCCAACATGCATTTCCCATTCATTTACACTACAAGAAATTTTCATATTCTGAAAAAGAGTTGCATTGTTTAACTACTGTGCTCTGCTGTAGGCATGAAAACATATTGCTGTGGAGAGACAAGACACAGAGGGAGAGAAGGAGACAGAAGTTATAAATTGTTTTAGTTATCAGGAATTTATTATCAGGAATTTATAAATTAATACAATTTTTAGACTAATTTTCCCCTGAACAATATTCAGTATATAACAAATCACAAAAGATCAGAGTTAATGATACGTAGAGGAAGACTCAGAAATTAGAGGGAAAAAAACTAAAAAGTTCACAAGGCAATGAGGTATTAAGTTCTCTTTGTGTGCTATCCTGATTAGTTTATCTTTTATTTAAGTGGTCTTTGGGTCTGGAGAATTTCCCTTTCCCTTCAGTCACTGTCTTTGGTCATCCTTCTCAAGCTTACACTTAGTGAAATATCAACCCTACCTCCAGACCAAGAGTTAGGAAGATTGACAATGAGGCTTAGGCGCTCTTATGCCAAGTTTTCCTTTAAAGTCCTGTCTGGGCCCTCTGCCCTGTAGCAGAATCAGAAAAAAAAATGTGTGGGTAGGTATGAGAACATGATTGAGCCTGGACACCAAAGTTGTGAGCTTTATTTTTCCCAAGGAAATATTATTAGAGAGCATTTGTGAGTCTGCATCAGGTTGTCTCATGAAAGGACAGTCTAAACTGGAGAGCTGGACAAGGTGGAGGCACTGACACTATCCTTTGCTAGCACCCAGCCCTCAGTGCAGGATCATACTGAAGGAAGGGCATCTCCCCCTGGGCCTGCCTCGTCCCAGTTAAGAAGGATAGTGGCAGGTCCTGCTTGTGGCAGGATTTGGGTTTTGACACTCTTTGCTTCTCTTTCTCAATTTTGGCTTGCAGGCCAGCTGCTCACAGAGTGGGCAATTGGAGCATCAGCTCTTCACCCTTTCTGGTCCTCCAGTCCTATTATTATCCACACTAATTTGAAGTGCCTTTCCGTGAGACACTAGAAAAGGAGAGCTTTTGTTTTTCTTTTTGAAAAGAAGAACTGCCCTATCCAAAATAATGAAATATTTTTTCATTATACATTAGTAATCACTCGTTGTGTGTAAAATTACTAATAAAAGAAAAATTTAAAAAATATTGCCAGACTGGAATTGTCAATTAATTATGTTTGTTCCTAACAATAGAATACAGCCTTGAGAAATTATGTTTCTTTTGTGCTCTCAGGTTCCTCTTTCTTTGGATCTAGTTGCCAACCTTTACAAAACTTTGAGTTATCCTTCAAAGTCCAATGTGTCCCTCTCCCAGAGATCTCTGGGCTGAGTCAACACGCAAAATACCAAATCTAGCCATGGCCTTTTACAATTTCTTTAAGGAAGTAGCAATTGATGCAGAACATTCTTTGGTCATCACAATGGGTGATTTTACTACATCAGATGGTTTGATGTCCATGGTTATTCAAGCCCAACTTGCTGCACATGTAAGCCTGGAGCAGCAGTCACCTTGCCTCAATGCAAGGTGTTCTCAATGCAAACACCTACAGAGTTAATGCAGAAAAATCCTAAATTTGGGTTGCAATTAAAATAATTGCACCTTGCATCCCTCTTAAACTCCTGCATTAGGGTGAGATATCATAAAATGTCTCTGTGATCTCACTTCTGAAGGGAGAATGACACATAGACTTGTTAATGCAGCTGTAGAAGTCCACTTTTAAATTGGCCAAAACTCCATAGTTCCTCCTCCTAACTGCCCTCGCACCAAATCACTAGCTATACCATCACAACAGCCTGATATACAGAAACCTCAGATCTCTTCAGTAGTTTGTAATTTGGACACAACTATACCAACCAGGCAAGCAAGTTCCAAGCTCTGCCAGAGAGAACTGCTCACGTGAGCGGGCACAGCTGTAACAGCTGACCTGAACTGCCCATAGTGATATCTTGTGCCATAGAATTTCAAGCCTAGTAAATAAATTGGTGGAATAACACAGAAAGGGATCTAATTGTGCTTTGGAGATGGGTTGTGCATCAGTAAGCAGGTGGTGAGCTATTAATTGTGCATCACTGGTTATTCATGGGTTTTCTTTCTCTCCCTCTGTCTCTTCCTTTTTTCTTACTATTTTTTGTTGTTGCAATATTATATTTTACTTCATTTTAACTACTGAACTGTCCTTATCTCAACCAGAAAATGCTAGATTTTTTTTCGATTCATCTTCCCCATCCCACCAGGGTGGGGAAAAGTGAGTGAGTGATTGTGTGTGCTTAGTTGCCAGTTGGGGTTAAACCACAACATCCTCCCAAGTCACCCAGCCTTGCTTTCACTGGCCATACTCTTTCTTTTATCTGCTTTAGCTCCAGAGAAAAATCCCTGGTCAGCCAAGACAGCCTTCTGCCTCACCAGTTTGACTTCCAGCATTTTGGAATTATGGAAGTATTTGGAATGCTCCCCTGCTCTGAGAAGGTGGTGTCTAAATTTTGACCACAATGGTAGATCCCAGCATCTTCAAAACCATTTTCTCAAGGGCCTTACAAACTACTTCCCTGAGCAGCCTGAAGTCTACTCTTCTCACATTCAGAATTTTGCTGGCTATTTTTCTCCTGTAACTAGATATTTTAAATTCAACTGCTTCATGATCCGAAATGTCCACCAATCACCAATTCACTCATGAGACCTTCTTGTTACCAAGCAACAAATCCAGGAGGATACCTTTGCTAGTCACCTCCCTTAGTACCTGCATCAGTTTTTACTCATTGCTGCTCATCTCATACCCATCCTGTGCATGTTTCTCAATGGAAGAGGAAAAAATAGCTCTCCTCTCAACCTCAGAAAGGCTAAGTGACCTGGAGTTCCTGCCCTTGTCAGTGAGGCTGAGAAGAGGATCTGTTCCAAACAGATGTTTTGTGGGGAGGCAGAGGGAGATGGTGTGGGAGTAACTGTGGGATAGAGGTTCCTGTTTCAAGTATTACCTTATGGACAGAGTCACATTACAGTTCTTGTTATATTTAAACATACAGATTGTTTAGGCTTACAAACAAAACCACCAGAAAGACACATTATTAAAATATAACTCTAAAACTGTAAAATAAAACTGTAAAATAAAACTCTAAAACTCCCTTTTTAACAAGGCCCGCATATTTTTCCTACTTCTGCATTCAATCAATAAAAATGTTGAGAAAAATTGAGAAAGAAAAACCCTTCTTATCTGTTATATTATTACATAAACTTTCTTTTCTTGTGTTTCTTTGTTTTTCTGTCTTGTTGTCAAAAGAAAAGATCAGCCAGAACATTTAGGTGAGGAAATGGAAGTGGCATCGGAAATAAAGAAATTTAAAGCAGTTAACAATGACATCAGAGATATCAACAAGACTAGTTGCCAGAAAAGAAGGGCTTTGATCAAGAGCAGACTGCTGCAGACAGAAGTAACCAGCAAGGTGAAAATGTGCTGCTTCTCCTAAAACAGACATCATTACATCAAGCAGAGAACATGCCTATGTCATGTTCAGAGGTTTAGGCTGCCATTACAAAAGGTTTCACTTGAAATACTCTCATGTGTTCAATGAGTCTGTACTGTGAAACAGAGTGGGGAACAGGCACAGGTGTTTATTTTTCTTCACTTCTTCAGGATGTCCCTAAAGTCAGACCCAATCCTATCTCAAGTGTTTTGTAGTGGGAGAACAACCTGCTATGCTCTAGTATAGCCACATACTCCTCCTTTCTTAGCATGTTTTCCACTTTCTCATTTTTTCTTTTCCCTTCCTTTTTTTGTCTAGTCTCTTGATTTTTCCCATCTGCCTTGCGCCTATTCCTCTGCCTCTCTGCTGCCCTGCTCCCCCTCTTTGCTTTCCCAAAGCAGCCTGCAAGCCCTACAGAACCTGATCTCACATACCTTCCCATTTTAGTACCTGCCCTTCCAGTGCAGAGATCAGTGCAAAGCAAAGCACATGACAACTAAATATTTGTTCTGGCAATATTTTCTATTCAATTTTGAATTACTGGATTTCATAGTAATTGTCCCTTTCATCTTGGGATATAACATCAAAGAGGTATAACTGCCAGGCTTTGCAAGTTTCCGCAAATGAAGTTCAGGATCTTTTGTTTAGGGTCATTTGATCCTGTGCATCACAACAATATTTAAGGAAAAGGGGAGAACTAAACAGTTTCTTGGAGAAGCTTGTTGTAAGCCAGAGAATTGTTCGTAGCTATGGCATTTTTCAGGCACTGCCAGAAGTAGGGCTGAGACTGAGGATTAGTTGGCCATTCCAGGACTGAACTTCTGCACAGCCTCTTCCTCAGACGGACGTAGCGGGACTTCTGCAAAACCTTCTCAAGAAATATCAAGATAATGACATCCATCTTTTCATCCAGAAGCCGCTGATGAGCCATATAAAATGTTGTCTTGAAGCGGCCACTTTTAATGTACCTGTTGGTCAGCACAAATATGGTCTTTTTGCTCAGCTGAATGCTCTGGGAAAGGTTGTCAAAGACTGGCTGTCCTGGGAGCCAGTCCCTTCCTTCCAGGCATAAATTGAACTGCCTGGCTTTTTGGTTTTCCAGCCTTTCAACCAGCTCTTGCAGCACCCACTCGTTCACAGCTGAGTCTTCGCTGTCGTAGGCAATAAAGGCATCGTAGCAAGCAGCAGGTGAAGGCAAGCGCCGATAGCCCTTCAGCCGGGCAGTGCAGTAATGGTAGCTGTACCACACATCCCAGAAGTAGAGATGGCTCATCACTGTGAACACCATTAAGGCAAGGACGGCTGAAGATGACAGAGCATACAGAATAAAATATGATGTATCCAGCTCACAGGTGTAGAGATCCAAGAAAACCACGCTCCTTCCCTTATGTGCCCCTGGGCCAGCACAGGTGACGTCAGTGGCCAGAAGAGGAATGGTCACCTGCGTCTGATTGATCCACCAGACAAACCACACAGCCTCACAGTTACACTTAAAAGGATTGCCGTGCAAAAGCAGCACCTTCAAGTTGTTAATGACATTTTCAGGGAAGCTAGATTTCTTAATTATTTCAATCTTGTTTGAGCTGAGGTCCAGGTACCTCAGTTTAAAAGCACCTCTGAGAAAATATTTAGTCAATCTCTGAATGCGATTGTTTCGGAGCATCAGTTCTTGGAGAGATGAAGTGCAATTGGACAGTTCTCGGGGAACATTAGTCAGAAGGTTATTGCTCAAGTCCAGAGTCACTAGGTTCTTCAGAGAGGGGAGCTTGTCCCAGATAAAACTCTTCAGTCGGTTATTGGTTAAGTTGAGGATCTTGAGACTGGGAGGCATTTCTTCAAAAACACCAGGAGGCAAAAAACTGAGTGAGTTGAAGGAAATATCCAGTTCTTCCAGGCTGGTCAGGTTCTTGAAGAAGGACAAGTATCTAGCATTGCCATCCATCCATAAAGCATCTAAACGATTTCCTCTGAATTCTAAAATTCGAAGAGATTGACTTTCCATTCCCGTATCAATAGTGGTAGAAATGTCATTGTCATTCATCATCAGCTTCCTCAAATGGACGAGATTTTTCAGAAAACTAAGCACATGAGTAACACCTTCTGCCAGAAAATAATATTTGTTATTGCTCAGATCTAGAATTTCTAAAAGTTTTAGTTCTTTGAAGGCAGTTTGGTATAGCAAATCAACCCTGTTGTTAGAAAAATCCAGATATTTCAATTCAGACAAGTAAGAGAATTCACTTCCATTTAAAGTTTGACTTATTGCATTACCTGACAAATTGAGACATTTGAGGGAGCTAAGTCCCTGGAAGTCGGAGGGGTTAACAAAAAATACATTGTTTCTGCTTAAATCCAGAGTTTTTCCGTAGTTAAGGCAATCTTCCTTAACTAAAGATTGGTAGGAAGAAGCCTCTATGTCTTTCGAACGGCAACTTCGCCCATACACATCATACCTGAAATAATGCATCTCTTGTTGTACTTGCCTGTTGTACTGCTCAACTGAAACACCAGGATTAGAGCAAAATCCACGGAAATTGCTGTCCCCTGAAGAAGGAGAAATTTTATTCACGGAGAGGTCAATGAACTTAAGAGCTGGGAATTCTTCAAATACTGTCATGTCTGCAACTTTAATAAAATTTGTCCCAAGATCCAACATGGTTAGATTCTGAAGACGGAGCAGTGGATTTAGATCTTTTGCCCTCAGTTCTTTAAAGACATAACCCTTGAGCTTCAGGGTTTCCAGGTTAGAGAGGGAGGAAAATGTTGTGGAAAGATTCAAGAAGGGAGAATACACCTTCAGCTCAAAGTTAAAAGACAGATCAAGCTGCATAAGGCTGGGGAGAAATGTCAAGAACTGAGCATCTCCAATCTCCCTCATGAGGAAATTTTGGGAGAGGTCAAGTTCTTTGAGATTCTTGATGTTTTTAAACCAACTGCTAGGTATGCTCTGAAGAGAGTTACTGTGGAGCCGCAAAATCCTTAAATTTTCCAAGGAGTCAAAAGCCTTTGAATGTATGTGAATTGAGCTCTTGGGACAGGGAATGCAAGGATATGGGGCATTGTAGCAACGCCCTGTTAACGGTGAATCCAGCTCTTAAAGTAGGTTGGGAAGGCCACTGAAATCCTGTTCTTGAATCTCTTGAATCCTGTTGTTGTAAATATACAATTCCTTTAAAGTAGATGACAAATTGGGTGGGACTCGTGTTAGGTTGTTGGACTTCAGGGACAGGATTGTTAACTTTTTCAGTCCCAGGAAGGCTGTTTCCTCAATTTCAAATGAAACATTGCATGGGTTGCGGTAGTAACAGTTCTGTCCAAGATACAATACCTCTATGTTTCCTAGCTCTGAGAAGCTGGCTTTATGGATAGAAAAGATATGGTTTGCTTCCAGGCTCAGCAAGGTTAAAGTAGCAGGAAGGCCTCGGGGTATTCCTGCCAGCTGGTTTGCATCCAAATACAATGACTTCAGTCTTGTCAGGGCAGCAAAAGACGGTAAGAGTTAAAAGTCACCCGACCAACACACATGATTTTTGGGTCCCAGCTTGACAGGCACACAGTTGCACCTGAAGTCAATCTCCTGGAGGTTTTCAAGATGATCAAAGGATGTTGGGTGGATGTGGGGAATATGGTTAATGCTCAGCGTAAGGTTGGTAGCATTTCCTGGGATCCCTCTGGGGATTTCTGTAAGGCGCCGGTCAGTGCAGTCCACTGTCACAGTATCTTCGGAAGGTTTGACATCACAGGGTAAAGTTTTGGGAAACCAAGCCCCTGACAGCAGCATTGGGAATACGAAGAGCAAGATAAATGGCAATGCATTTGACATCTTTGCACAAGGTACCTAAAACCAAGGAGAAATGGAGGTATTAGTTTTAATGCAATCAGAATATTTCATCTATACACTGGGTCTGGCCAACTTTACATCTAAATTCTGGTTTTTGTCTCACATTGACCAAGAATAGATGTGGAAGTAGGATTAGAAGTTTGAAGAGGCATATGCTGGTATTTCCTTTCCTTTTTTTTCCCCCCTGGCAACACAGCATTTTATGCATGTAATGAACATTATGATACTAATGAAAGAGTGTCTAGCCTAGCCAAATAGTCCATGACATCCCAGTATTTGCCTGTCTCCATCTTTTATTGCAAGGCAATGTACCCCAGTGTCAAGAACATTAGCCAAGGCAAATGCCCATGGAGCACAGCAGAGATCTGATAGGGAAGCCATAGAGACTCCTTGCAGTGCAAGACATTTTTCTCCATCACATGGGTACCCTTTACAGTGCATCTGACGACACACACCTCCGTAGATCATGAAGTGCTGGCTGTCACCAGCCATGGACACAGAAAGTGCAGTCAGAGAGGGCAATACTGGCAGCCACTGCACATCAAAGTCCACCTTTAAAACAAGGAAGTTGTAGGAACCAGGCCTACAGTCATGAGATATGCTGTTCTATATGTGGTAAAGGGATTTCCATGAGATCTGTGGCTGAGGGATTACTCTGGGCATGATGGTGTGCTGAAGTGTGATACGTTATCAGGCAGAAACGGGTAACCCTTTCAGCCTCAGTCAGCCAGGTAGAAGAGGAAGTGGTGCTAAAGTTTCACAATTCTGTACTTTCCTTGTGCAAGACCTAAAGTCTGTGTTGTTGCTCTTGATATCCCTTATTTACATATAAGTGGCTTCTCTCTGTCCCCCATTAAAGACAGCAGTAACAGAACATTTGATCACAGTCTCGCTTCCACTTCTCCCAAAAGTATAAACTGGCATTTGAAATCTTTATTGGCAGAGAATGAGAATACAGACATTTTATGGACTAGTCAATGGAGTAATTTCTCTCTCTTTACAAAACTAGGTATGCTTATTTGGTAAGATTTGCACCGGGAGTACTGACATAGTACTGTACATTTGTATGTTGCAAGTCTAGTGTATTTATCAATTATCCAACAAATTGCATTGTTGATGAATCTCTGTTCATGGAAGTTCATACTGAACTAAACCAGATTTGCAGTGATGAATCAGTAATACAACTGGTGAGTCTGTTCAGGAATGAGATGAGGCTTGTGGTGTAAATCCAACTATTGCACCTGGCAACCTGACCAGACTTAGTAGTACTTAGTTGGCTCAAATCAGAAATTAAGCCCAAACACACCCAGCCCCTCTGATTTCTGTGGACCAGCTGGAAGCAAAGGAGGTTATTTTATGCCAAATTGCTACATACTTCATGCAACAGGAAGAAAAGCTAATTAGATTCAACCTTTAAAGATGTGATAAACCAAAATAAACACTGTCCAAGCATTAGAGGATGACATGGGCAAGGCATGATTGCAGTCTAGATTGAAGACTCGAACTTTCTACATGAATTTGTATGCAGCCATTGCACTCAGACCCTTAATTTTAGGTGTTTACCCAAGTTTCTCACTTTATTGTCATTAACCTAGGCTGCTTGGCTCTGAAGATGGAGAGAGCTGTGGCTTACTACAATTTAGGTGCCTGGAACTAGGTGCAAAGAATCTGGGGTTTGAAACTCATCATGAATATGTTTATAAGTTTCTCATGTAGTTCAGGGGTTCTTTTTAGGGACCTAAGTGTGGCTGGAGAGCCAGCCTAGTTCTTTGTGCTTCATTTCTTTATATGTTCCTCCCTTTCCTGATAATCTTTTTTAATGAATTAGCTATTTGAACTGTAAAGAGTTACATTCTGGTGCTGTATCTGGCTATTTACGTGTGTGAAACCTCACATCCATTATAGTACCAGAACAAACAAAAAGACTTCTAAATAAGAGCAAAAAGCAATGCTGTCTTGTGCAATGTCTTTGTAATGAGAGGCTTGCTTAATAGTACAGCTGGAGTATGGTGTATATGTTCTTTTCTCTGTGATCTATGCTTGGCTTTATAAGAAGTATGAAAAGAACTAATCTACTGGTCTTAACTGGCATATGCATAAACTAATAATGATTTAGGGTGTTCTTCAAATATTCAGCAACAGTACTGCTGTGTGTTTCTAAAGGAAGGTTTTCTGCTGGGATTCCATATATTTGTTCATGGGGAAAGGCTAGAGGAACACCTCAGAAGTTACATCAAGTAGAAAATATATTACACTCATTCTGAAGTACAGGAATACAGATAAATCCTTTCCTTTCATAATTTTCTCCAGCTTCTAACCATAACAGTAAACTGAACCATTTGGAAAACAGAAAAGCAGAATATTTTCTTGAAAATCTTCCACAACAGTTCCAGTCAAAAATGTCTAAGAGCAAATTTAAAATAAAAGTTTAAACATACCATATTCTTTGCGTTTCCAGGTCTGACAGATTAGATTCTGGAAGAAACCACAAACTGGAGCAGAAAACAGCATCAAAGTGGTTTCCAGTGGTTCAGCTGAGGTGTAGGGGAGAACGTAACACGACATAACCCACTCAAGACAACATTAATCTACACTGTATCTTCTTTCTCTTCATCTGAGCACCAAAGGAACACAACTTCAAAATCCTTAATGAGAGAGTATGAGATTAATCAGCTAGGAGACAAAGGCATTGGGAAAGGGTAATACTCATGTGATCAACAAAGATTGCAGAAGCTCAAGTTCCTTTTTTTTTTCCTTTTTCAAATGTAAGCTGCATGAAGGGAGGCAAAAATTGTTAATTGACAAGGAAGTTTAGTAATTTTTATAATTATTATTTGGGATTTATTTCTGAAGTTACTAGCTTCAAGGATTCATATCTTTCTAAGAATCACTTGTGCACTAATATGAGCAGACAAATCTCGGAATACTTCATGTAGAAGTCTGGAAAAATGTTTGTTAAATGAAATGAACTTGAGGAAGGGAACCAAAACCAAGACAAAAAGGATAAGGGCATAGGTAACTGAACACAAAGAAGTGAGAACTATGTGGAAGAGTGTGCACAAGTTGGATTGTGAATGATTTCTTCAAGTAACATCCCTGGTACATGTCACTGGAATAGGAGATGCTTAGTCCACTTTGCTTGCATGAAGGTTTTCTAAAACACAACATCCAGTCACCCAGCCTTGTAATTTTTAGCAGGTATTCCCTCACAGTCTATGACTACAAGCTGTGGAAATTTTAATAGCTGTGCCAACACTTAGCAGTTTCTTTTGCTCTCAGGTTGATCTGTTTTTTGTTTGTTTGTTTTAATATTAGGAACTTGTTGTCAGCCAGCTAAGAGCTCAAGGAGTTTCAATTCTATGTAAAATGAAACTGCAGCTTTAGCTGAGTACTAGTAAAATGCAGACCTCTTCTTATCTTTATTTAGTTTTTACCTATGAAATTTGGGAAGAAAAATACAGCAGTAATTCGCTTCAGAGATTGAGGCAGGGTAAATGGAGGGGAGTTTTCAGAAATTCAGGACTTCTGAACTGTAATTTGAGTTTTAGAGGCATAGGGAGTTACTGGTTTACTGATTTTAAAAGTTCCGTTTCCCTCAAAAGTTGCACAAAATCTCTTGCCTCCTCTGAAAGACAAAGTAACTGAAAGCAGAAAAGTGCTTCCTACTATATCACATGTTAGGGGAGGACCTACTGATAGCAGCAAATATATATTACGGCTGCTGTGAGTGAGGAAAATAATTTAAAATAAAGCAGGAGTCCTTACCTGTCTTAATCCTACATCTATAAATTTGGTTGACAGTTGAGCAATCAGATTTCCTTTTCTTTTTCCTTTTCTCTACAGAAGTTTGCTTTATCGCATTTTCCAAAACCAAGATTCCACTATCTTTATTTTAAATCTTGATAAGTTTACTTACAGTCCTAAAGTCTTGCTTCAATGTCTTTTCTCTAAAGTGCTGACCCTGATTTCAAGAATCCTACAACTCCATCTATTCATAGCTAATATGCTATGAATAGCGTTCAGTTACATGGCATAATTTGCCCACAAAATTATTCAAGAAAGCCAGTTATCTTGCTCAGTTTTTGAAACACATAAGTTGAATTTTCAAATAGAAGTTGCTGATAGGTGCTGCAGAAATGTGTTTGTGGTCACTAAAAATAACCAAAAAAATGAATAGAAGGCAGCATGGGAGGAGACTGGCCGACAACAAGGGCAGAGGAAGCACTCAGGGGAGGCCTGGTAAGCAAGGACACACTGACAGATCTGAATTAAGAGCCTACTCAAACTGCCCAGGGTGCTGAGGTATGGCCTAATACCACAGAAACAGACACTGCCTTTTCTGAAAGCTCAGGCTGCCCAAGGCTACCTCAGTATCAGGACTGACTGGTTTACAACGGGTTAAAATTGTTTGCTCAAAGCAAAGGTTCCCAGCAGTATTGGTTTTGAAAGTGAGTTACCATCAGGGGAGACAGAAGGCACCCTGAAACAGCTGAAATAAGATGGAGCTATTTTCCAAGTTCTCCAGGGTCAGCACTGCAACTGTGTCCCTTCTGCTTGCCCCTTCCTCATGGGCAGATAAGACAGAGTAGCCACAGACATGATTCCTTCTATTCTCTGAGGGATGATGAGGAGAAGTGCCAAGGCAGTAATGCTGGAAGTGATGGAGCACAGCAATGGAGAAAGTGGTGGCAAATCATAGAACTGGCAGGCTCAGAGGAAGTTTGGCACCTGTAAGTGGGATATCCTCAAATCCTGCTTCTTGGTGATTGCCAGCCTTTTTTCATATTTCATGTAGGCAATCCTGCCATGGTTTATGAAGTCATCTTCAGGCAAGAGCACTGAGGGAGTACTGGAAGAGCCCCTGCAGGACAACATGGAACTCAGATGCTGCTGGACCCAAACAAATCACACAGCAGGAAAGCAGCTCCATGTGAAATAAAGGCTTAAGATAATGGCAGGCAAGCTACTGTAACATAGCTCACATTAGAAATGCATGCATGTCAATTTATGGAGTTTTGAAGACCATGACATATTTTTTTCATTTATTTTAGACCTTGATACTGCATTTATGACAACTGTGCATGATATACCTATCTGTGAGGACTACTATTTAATAGAGATTATTTTGATTCTAATGTCATGAGCTGCACTTGAAATGGATTGATTTCTTGTGTCCCTCTATGTATGTATATTTATCTATGCAAGACACCTATATGCAATAGGAATGTATTTTGTATAGTGTGTATATATTGTAGATTATCTGTATAGTTGCAGATACATCATAGCACAAATGTTTTTACTTGTTTAACAAAGTCCAGAGCCCTGCATTTTACAGTGGTGCAGACTTCCACTTCCAGCCCTGTGACCTTCCTCCCTGGTTGCTCTGGAGCCTGTCCTGGAGCCAGATTTTCCCTTTGCTTTCACACCACTGTTCTCTAAACCTTACTCCTGCAAGCCTTGGTGGGATCAGGGGTCTCTTCAGAGCTGAGCGATAGTGGCACATGCCTCATTCTTGCCTTCCCTGAAAAGTCACTCTAGAAGTGAAGTGTTGATGTGTGCCACTGCCACCAGTACACCCTGCTCCAACCCCTGCTTGTGGATTTAGTTAATGCCAATTTATGAGGCAAGCAGCCATCACCTCTCATTGAGTGGATCACATCTTCATTACCCATCACCTCGTTCTCAGGCCCTGAAGGTTCTGTGACCCCAGAAGAAAACCCAGATAAATAATTTTTTTCCCTCCCTCCCATCCTCAAGGTTCCTGGGCACAAGGTTACTGCTCCCCTCCTTTCTGTCCTGGAGGGTCCCAGGCCCCCATGGAAGAGGGAGGCGAAGTGCAGAAGCCCATGGTCTAGAGATCCAACCAGTTATGAGGCATAAGGGGGGACCTGAACCAGAGCTGCTGCTGGACAGACAGTGAAACCCATCAACCTCCAGTAGCCGGGATACTTCTGCCATTGTTTGCATCCTCTGAGGATGGAGGGAGTGACTTATTCTTTTATATGTTTTGAGAGTCTTATTATAGTTGCTATATTGATAGAGCAAAGCATGGACTAAGATTTGACTTGAGATCTACACAGGGTTCAAGTCATTAAATTTATTATAAATTCTGTATTGCACTACTTACAGCTTGTACAATGTTAATTTGTTTTGTAGAAATCCCATGGCATTTTAGTAATAATGATTGATGTGCTATAATAATGACAATATCCTATCAAAAATGCTTTCATTGTAACCACAATATAGCAGCATCATCATTTTGCCAAAGACTAGCTCTTCCCTTAGTGTCAGATGAAAGCCATCCACTATGAATCCTGCTAATAAGAGCAAATATCTATGTGTGGGGACATGCTTGGGGGCACAACATGTACTCTGAGCAGGGAATTCAGCAAGTCTCTATGATTTGCCTATTCTGTACAATTTCTTTTATTTTTTGCCTTCTTTTACATTTTCTTACAAGTATAGCTCAGCACAGGCCTACAAAAGTCAGACATGAGTATCCACAATCACACCTCATTTGTCACCACAACCATACTGGGTCTGGTTGGGATGGGCCCCGTTTTTCCACAGCAGCCCTGTGGTACCCTGGTACAGATTGGTGACCAAAGCAGTGTGGATTACACACCAGCATGATGCCTGTGGGGAAACTTGCAGAGCATCAAGGCCTTCTCCACTCCTCACGCTGGTGAGCAGGCTGTGGGTGAGCCAGAGTCTGGGAGGGGGCACAGCCACAATTATGGAGCTCAGCTGACTAAAGGCATAACTCATGCCATTAAGGTTCTATGTGCAGCAATAAAACTGGGGAGGAGTGGCAGGATGTGGGTTTAGCTAAAGCAGCCATCACTCAGAGGCTAGCTGGGCTCTGGTCTGCTGCCAGGAGGTGGTGAGTGATCACTTCTGCATCATTTGCCTTTTTCTTTTTCCCTTAACTTATTAGCCTGGCATTATCTCTGCCCAGGAGCTTTATCTGCAGAGAAGAGCCACTCTGAACCTGCCCTCCCGATGCTCCCCCCAGCCCGGATGGGTGGGCCTTGGCTGCCAGACAGAGGCAGCTGCCACTCAGCGCAGGAGAGACCACAGAGCACCAGCACTGACAACACACACCTGACAAACGACTGCGAAAGGGACCTCTACAGTGAAACACACCCAGGTTTCACTCCCCATAGTCACTGCCTCAGAAACAGCCTCTGAATGTTTGACATTTAAAACCCCTGGGAGTCTATGACAAAAGCTTCGAGCAAAGCTCGAAACATCAAATACTCTTACAAAAAAATCCAAAAATGTGTACTTGCACTAGGCAGTGGAATGATTAAAAGTAAGGCTTACAGACTAAATGTGCTAAATCCTCCAATTTCTGTTATGCAGTGGGGTACAGTTTCAGTTATCTCAAAAGAATGCTGCAGAGACAGGAATGTTTCCCACCAGGCTGAACTGACAGGTCTTCAGACCACAATCCAGGCGTACACATACAGTAAGATTAGTTCTGCAATTTTACTTCTGCTCTTTCCACTATCTCATCAAATGCAGTTGAGTGGGTTTGCCTCCAACATTCTGAGAAATGCAAATTTCAACTGCTCATGAAATGCAGCTCAGACTTCCAAGGAAATTTAAACATTGTGTCCCTTCTGTCAGACCATAAAAAAAAGAGAAGGATGATCTTATTATGAAGATGTTTACCA